AGGAGATAACTAAGGTCCTAAAAAATTACTTACTTTGGGCGCTTGGGTGGCTCAGTTGGTTAAGCGACTGCCTTTGGCTCAGGTCATGATCCTGGGGTCCTGGGATCGAGCCCCGCATAGGGCTCCCTGCTCCACGGGAAGCCTGCTTCTCCCTCTCCCACTCCCCCTGCTTTTGTTACCTCTCTCACTCGCTCTCTTTCTCTGTCAATTAAATAATAAATAAAATCTTTTTAAAAAATTACTTACTTCATCAAAAATAAGGCAGCAATGGGGGATAAAAGGAAACAAAATACAGATGGCAAAATTAGGGGAAGAAAGTAGACAAATCCACAAGAGGTGGAGATTTTGACAGGTTTCTCTCAGTAATTGGTAGAAAAATTATACCCCTCCAAAATCACTAAGGATATGGAATATTTGAGTGACACTATTAACCAACTTCATCTAATTAACATTAAGGTGGTATCACACCTCACCTTGAAAAAGAAGGAAAAAGTAAAAGATTTACACTGCCTGACTTAATAATTTTACAACTACAATAATTAAGACAATGTCGTATTGGCCAAAGCATAGATGAATAGATCAGTGAAACAGAATAGAGTATTTCCTATCTTTCCAAATGTAAATGCAATTCCAGTCAAAACTCCAGTAAGGATTTTCATAGAAATTTATGAGCTGATTCTAAAATTTACATGAAAATGCCAAGGAATTAAAATATCCAAAGCAACATTGAAAAAGGAGGAGGATGGGTAAACAAGTTATTATATATTCATTTACTGGAATACTACTCAATCATAAAAGAGACAAACAACTGATACCAGGAACAATATGAATGAATCTCAAAACATTATGGTGAAAGAAAGAAGCCAAAAACAAAAAAAAATCATACTGTATGATTCCATTTATATAAAACTCTAGAAAAGCCAAATATAATACATAGGCAAAAAGTGGATCAATGATTGCCGGGAGTCAGGGTTGAGAGGGCAGGCAGAATTAACCTGAAATGGTATATGAAAACCTTTTTGGATGTAGAAATGTTTTATATCTTGACTGTGATTACACAGTTGTACATAACTGCCAAAATTCACTGGACTATATACTTAAGATTTCATTGTACGTGAATTACACTTCAATGAAAATCAACCAACCAACCTAATCAATCGAATACATACTGTTTTGAAAAAAGAGTAGAGATTTACAGCATCCTTAAAAATCTGAAAGTTGTAGGGGTGGCAGTATCCAGCACATTTTCATTTAATTCACTTGTGTGGCCCCTATAATACTGATGGATCCTAGGGGCGCCTGGGTGGCTCAGTTGTTAGGTGTCTGCCTTCGGCTCGGGTCATGATCCCAGGGTCCTGGGATGGAGCCCCACATCGGGCTCCCTGCTCCGCAGGAAGCCTGCTTCTCCCTCTCCCACTCCCCCTGCTTGTGTTCCCTCTCTTGCTGTGTCTCTCTCTGTCAAATAAATAAATAAAATCTTTAAAAAAAAAAAAAAAGTACTGATGGATCCTGAAGAACGAAGGTACATAGGTCTAAGTTCAAACCAGTAGTAGCCCCAATTGTACTTATGGTGCTAGATATGAAATACTTTCTAGAGCAGATTAACATGATTCCAGATACATGATATGTAACCATTGGTCTGGCAAATGCTTTCTTTTCCATCTCTCTCAAGGAGGACAAGAAACAATTCACATCCATGAAAGATGGACAACAGTATATCTTTATAGTCTTTCCCTAAGGCTATATTAACTCTCCTGCTCTCTGTCACAATATAGTCCAAAAAGGCCTAGGCCATTTGGACGTTGACATTCAGTGTGACATAACATTGACCCCTCTACCAATGGTATCATGAAAATTGGACCAGTTGAGCAAAAGCAGCTAGTATGTTGTTCAGTAAAGTTGTTTTTTGTTTGTTTCTTAGGATTTCAGTGGTCTGAGGTATGCCAGGATTATCACACATGAGGTTCTGGAGACAACACATTTCACACTTGCAAATACTACCCCAACCTATTTACCAAGTGACTTGGAAGGTTGACAGCTTGTAATGGGATGCAGACATGTAAAGGACTCTATGGAAGGTTTAGGCTGTCGTACAAGCAGCCCTGCCAGTTGAGCCATATAATCCAACAGACCCTAGAGGAATCTGTGATGAGAAAAGATGTTGTATGGATTTCATGGCAAGTTCCCATAGAAGAATTATAACATTAGATACCTAGAGTTCTGGAGTAAGGCCATGACATCTGCAGCAGAGAACTGGCCACGGTAAGATTAGAAGATCAACCATATACAAGACCAGAGGGCACAAGTAACTGCATGAGCAGATGACCCAGATTCCTATGACATCCATTAATATTGCAATTATGCCTCCCCCTCTGCTCGCACCTATAGCAAGTATTATCTTAGACCCAGAGTCCAGAGGTGAAAAAAAGCCATGCTGAGTTCACAGATGGGTTGGCTCAGTACATTTGTGCAAACCAAAAATTGGCTATTGCACTATATCCTGACTTGGGGGAGGGAAGGTGTCTAAAAGAAAATGGCATCAGGAACATCTTCCCCAAAGGCAGGTTTGGATGTAGACTTTCCCTGGAGAAGGGGTATTCAAAGACTCAGCCCCCTTGCTTCAGTTGAGGACCTCTCTACAGAACTATGCCAGCTTCTTAGCACACCAGGGGATCTGCTGAGGCTTCTGTTAGGACTGCATCACAGTTCAACTTCTCTCTCTGCCTCATCCTGCTTCCTTCACATGCTTACAGATGTTTTTCCCAAGAGTGTATCTCAATAATCTCCAACTCAGTCTGTTTCCCAGGAAACCCAACCTGCAACAATTAATACAAAGAATCAGCGTAATAAGTCAGGATTAAAAGTTCTACATTTGGAAAGTTTGTGGGAGGCAGGGAGGAATGCTAGTTCTGCTTGGAAATCCAAGTTATCCATTTTGATACTTATGTTTTTTAGTTCTTTGTTTCTGACAGGGGAGACGTATACCTTGTGCTCCACCCTAGACTGGTGACATTCAAAATAGGACTGTCACACCACTACCTGAAAGCAGAGGGCGCTTTTGCCTGGAACATGTGTGAACAAATTACCTTCTCACTACTTTTCTGCAGCGAGGGGAGAGTATCTCCCAAAAGGCTAGTGCTTGCTGGTGGAATTGAGAGTTCTCTAGAGATTCACTTATTATACATATTTATCTGTATTTAAAGACAGGAAGAATAATTAATGTTCAATATTCGGGGAAAGAAACATACCACATAAGAACAGCCATGCCTAGAGTATGCTACTCAAAGAACAAATATTTTTCCCCCTTTCCTTTGTCAGATTTTTAAAACTGGACCTCAGGTGTATAGAACTGCTTTAATCATAACCCTAAATTCATAACAGGCTTCCATCATTTATACATAGAAGGTTCTTATTTATTTATTGTTCATTTGTTGGCTTGTTGATTTTAATAACAAACAATTGTGAAATCACCACCCAACAAAAATTAAAATGATGATAATAACTGACACCCACATCAGATCCCTGACCATCCTATCCCCCTGCCTCTCACCTCGAAACTTGAGTTCATTGTTGCCTTGCTTTCCTTTGTATGTAATTATATTACGCTTACATTTATTTATTAATAGCATATACTTTTGGTTTGGTTGTTTTGAAATTTATAAAAAGGGTATTTCTATACACTTTTAGTGTGTTACATTTCACAATAAAAAGAGTTATTTAAAGGTATCATGCAGGATGTAATCTCTGGGGACTTTTAAAATTATATTCCTAAAATTCACCCATATTATCACATGGAGCAATGTTTATTCATTTTGCTTACTGACTTCCTTTCCCACTTTTTTTTCCTTTTAAAGATTTTATTTATTTACTTATTTGAGAGAGAGTAGAGCAGGGGGAGAGGGACAAGCAGACTCTGCACCGAGGGCAGAGCCCAACACACAGCTCGATCCCACAACTCTGAGATCCATGACCTGAGACAAAATCAAGAGTCAGAGGCTTAACCAACTGAGCCACCCAGGCACCCCACTTCCTTTTCCATATTTTTTTTAAGATTTTATTTATTTAGGGCGCCTGGGTGGCTCAGCTGGCTGGGCGACTGCCTTCGGCTCAGGTCATGATCCTGGAGTCCCAGGATCGAGTCACGCGTCGGGCTCCCTGCTTGGCAGGGAGTCTGCTTCTCCCTCTGACCCTACCCGCTCTCATGCTCCCTCCCTCTCATTCTTTCTCAAATAAATAAATAAAATCTTTAAAAAAAAAAGATTATATTTATTTATTCATGAGACATACACACACACACAGAAGGAGAGAGAGAGAGAGAATGAGAGGCAGAGGCAGAGGGAGAAGCAGACTCCCCGCTGAGCAGGGAGCCTAATGTGGGGCTCGATTCCTGGACCCTGGGATCATGACCTGAGCCACCCAGGTGCCCTTCCTTTTCCATTTTAAAGATAATGTGTTAACTCAGATCAACACAAAAAAACCTCATCCATTTCTGGAAATTCATCTATAGCTATCACTTTTTTTCTTTTCTTATCTGCTCCTTTAAAAAACATTAAATTTTTGTTCTTTATTTCCTCTCTTTTTCCACAATATCCTCATTTCACTTTACTCAGTATCTTGTACATGCCTTGCTTTTTCTTTTTCCCTAACATAGTTTCAAGGAACCCTGGAACCTGTTCTTCAGTTTCAGGAGGAAGGGTGCTTGTTTTTCTAAAAGCCCGGAATAGAGAAATTAAAAATGCCTTTAATATAATGCCACACTTGAATATCCCCTGTGCCTACACATAAACCTTGTTCTTGTGGGTCCCTTAAGCCCACCTGAGGCCTTACACCAGTTGAGCTGTTTATAAAGATTCATTTGGTTGGGCATAAAGAAATCTCCCGTGGTATTGAAAACACATCCCTCAGAGAATAAAGGACCAAGCTGTTGGGCATAATGAAAATCAAGTATTAAACATAAGCCATACTGGCACTCCATACACCTGGAACAACAGCCTGATGCTTTGGAGAGACAATGGCAGAAAACGAATCTCATGTGTATTCCAGATGGTTCTGAAGGATCACAGACAAAAAGCGTTTGTCCCCACCCCCTTTTCAGAGCAACTCCAATTAAAATTTCCTCCCACTCTCCACTCAGTACTAAAAGTTAATAAACCTCAAGGATGTGACAGGTTATCCTTGTCCCCCTGACTTACGTGTGAATGTGAAGTCATCTTGCAGGAAGAAATGACAAACACCCAAACTCTAAGATTACACTGACTTCTTCTTTGTAGATGCAATGACCAACAGAATACATAGATTTCACATTGAGATGAATGCAGATGAGAGCTGGAAATGATCTGAGCTCCACAGTGCTGGAGAGGCTGGGCAGGAGAGAGAAATCCCCAGCTCGAAAGGGGGGCAGCAGTGGACAGCGCAGCCACATTTCTGCAGATACAGAAAGAACACACTTCCACCATTCACAACTGCTTTTAAAAGAGCAAATATTTTCTATTCATTCTAAAGAAAATTATGTTTGTGAGACTAGAAAATTGTGTGGATGCAAATTCTCCAACCTGGTAATTATCTCTGATCCATTTCAATAAGCAAAGGTTTGGGGGAATTATTCACATATGAATCATTTTCGCTGTTTTTTATTTGCAGAATAGATTGGAACTGTATGAATAAGAGACCTTCAACTCCTATTAACATTTTTGCATGCAATTGAGGCTCTCCAGAAATTAAAAGACAAACACTGGTATATCAATAAAAGAAAACATTATTTTATTTCACCTTGGGCTCAGCCACCCACTGCCTATCTTCTCTCCATCCCTGGAAATTTTTCTTTTGAGCTGACCCAGCTAGAATATAGATAGGTGGTGAGGAGGTGGGAGTGGGCATTGCAGCTGAAGGGAGCTGCTTGAGCAAAGGTGAAACTTCATGGAGAGGGGAAAAAAGAGACTCCTTTAGCTGGATTGAAGCGTTCTTGTGGGGAAGTGGTTGCTTGTAGAGGAGGACGCCGTTTGTGGATAGATTTAAATGTCAGGATAATTGGAAGCTACAGAGGCCGGTGGGGTGAGTAAGAGGGCGCGCACGCGCGCGTGTGTGTCTGTGTGTAGGGGATGAGTGCCAGCCAAGGTCTTAGGCTAACAAGGGACAGCCAGTAAGTGCCAGTAAGTAGAGCACCACAGTGAAAACCGAAGGACTGGTGTCAGACCAACCACAACTAAAATATTGGTTCAGCTACTCCCTAACTCTACCACTTTGGGCAATTTACTTACCTTGTCTAAGTCAAAAACCACCTACTTTCTAAAATGGGGATGATATTACCAAGTCCTAATTCATGGGTTGACTGACAGAATTAAAAAAAAAAATCATCTGTATGGGGGCGCCTGGGTGGCTCAGTCAGTTAAGCATCCACTCAGGTCATGACATTGAGCCCCATATGGGGCTCTGTGCTGAGTGTGGGGCCTGCTTAAGATTCTCTTTCTCCATCCACTATTGCACATGTCTATGACAGAAAGAACCCAATTATCAGCAATTATATAAAGCAACTGTTTTCATTTTGAATAGCCTTAAAAAATATACCTTTCTTGGAATAAGCTATTACAAATTCCTTATTTAAAATGTCCTTAGGGTAAAGTGAATTTTATCACTTTAAATTACAAAGAATAAACATAGGTGAACTTCAACTTAAGTTTCTCTGTGAATTTTCTGTGGGAAAAAAAAAATTGGCCCAAGTCTAGAAAAAAGAGCTAACTCACAAGTTAAAGGCAAGTCTGTGCAGAGAGTATACAGTAATGGCTGCATCAGCCGGGAATCACCTCCCTCAGGGAGGAGCAGGGTAGCTACAGATTGTAGCAGATGGGGATTATGTTTTCTTTGTTTGGCTTTATGTGTCTGAGGCACAAGAACACAATGGAACACAATTGCAGAATTAGGCAATTTCATACCCACCTAGTGCCTCCAGTTTTCTTTTTACTGAAGGAATGAGGAAACTCAAAGGAACAGCCATGCACATTTTCTAAATAAGCTACTTATAAGTCAAGACTTATGTTACTTATTTTAGTGGGTGGTTGTGTGAGGCAGAAGAAAACTTAGTGACATAAGGATGGGATAACTCAGGTCAGATCCCACTCCTTACTTATTAGGGAGAGACAGACTGTGTACTACCTCATTCATAAGAAATGGAGAGGATTTGAATTAGATGATCCAAAAATTTCCTCCAGGTCTCAAATTCTGACACTACATTAACCACATTTTACATAGCAATGTCTCCTAACTCCTCCAAACCAGTTATGATTTTTCCCTCCATTAAAAACCTGTAGGATTTTCCTCTTTTTTAGAACACTTGCTATGTTCCACCTTGGATTCTATAGTTAAGGCATGTGTCTACCTCTTTATTCCCCTCTAATTAACTATACTATCCTTTAAGGCAGGAGATTTTTTTTTATTCATATTTGATTAATCCAAAAATGTACAGAAAAAATTATACACCACCACCAAGTGGGATTTATTCCAAATGTCCAAGGCTGGTTCAACATTCAAAAATCAGTTAGTTTAACCCACCATATCAGTAGCATAAAGAAGAAAGGTCATATGAGCATATCAACTGATGCAGAAAGAGCATCAACTTTCTGCTTTAGAGAGAAAGCAGAAACACTCATTAGTGATAAAAACTCTCAGCAAACTAGGAATGCAGGAGAACTTCCTCAACTTGATAAATAACATTTATATATGTTAACTAAGTGGAATTAAAATAAAAACTTAAAAAAATAACACTCACAAAAAATCTACAGCTAACATCAAGTTTATGGTGAGTTACTAGATGTCTTCCTCCTAAGATTGGGAACAAGGCAAAGATGTTTTCTCTTACCACTCATATGCAACATTGTCCTAGAAATCCTAGCTAATGCACTAAGGCAAGAAAAAGAAATAAAAATATATACAGATTTGAAAAGAAAAAGTAAAACTATTTTTAGTGATAGATGACATGATTGTTTATAGAGAAATCCCCAGAAACTCTACAAAGAACTTCCGGAACTGATAAGTTATAATAGCAAGTTCATAGGATTTTTTTTTTTATGTGCCAGTAATGAACATCTGTAATCTAAAAATGTTTCTTAATACTATTTGCAATAGGGCACCTGGGTGGCTCAGTTGGTTAAGCGACTGCCTTCAGCTCAGGTCATGATCCTGGAGTCCCGGGATCGAGTCCCGCATCGGGCTTCCTGCTCGGTGGGGAGTCTGCTTCTCCCTCTGACCCTCCTCCCTCTCCTGCTGTCTGTCCCTCATTCCCTCTCTCAAATAAATAAATAAAATCTTTAAAAAAAAAAAATACTATTTGCAATAACACCAAAAACTTACATACTCTGGTATAAATCTAGCATAATATATACAGAATATATATGTGGAAAACTATAAAGCATCAATGAAAAAAATTAAAGAAATCTAAAGAAATGAAGAAATAGTGTGTGCCCATGGAATGGAAATCAGTAAGTGTTTGCCAAGGATTCAAGGTGAGAGGGGCTGAACAGATGAGGCATAGATTTTGGGGGGGTGGTGAAATAATCTGCATGGCACAACAATGGTGGATATATGATACTATGTATTTGCCAAAACCCATGGAACTTTATAGCACAAGGAGTAAACTTTAATATGTGCAAATTTTTAAAAAGTTACTTAGATCTTAGAATCCCAGGAAGGGGAAGGCAGGCAGACTGGGATACGAAGATCTAACTGTATTACAAATATATAAAACCTCACTGAAAGGAATGGGATAAAAGCTGCTGACCTAAGTAATGTTGGAAGTAAGTGGTCAGTGTAAGATAAAATCAACTGTACATAAGCACTATATTCTAGCTGATGAAATTTTTTTCCCCATAAATGTACAGGTTACCAACTCAGAAACCATTATACATGAACAAATAAGTAAATGGATAATGGATGGTAGGAACCAAATTTCTCATGGTTTGAGTGGGAGATTACAAATAAGAAAGAAAGAAGACCTAGAATGATCCCTGTGCTACTTGACTCAAGTTTGAGACATCAGTACAAACTCATGTTTAGCTTCATATAGATACAGACAGAAATATTTGTAAGTATGTATATATAAGCCAGGTATTATACACACCTATATATCTTTGTTCTGACAGCTCCAAGGGCCTGGAATCAATGACAGCCCAGTAGCAAAGAGCACACCTAGTGCCCGATTCTTGAGTTCTGTCTTTTTTTTTAAAGATTTTTTTATTTATTTTATAGAGAAAGAGAGCACGAGGAAGAGGGAGAGAGAATCTGGAGCAGACTCTGCACTGAGCGTGGAGTCCATTGTGGGGCTCAATCCCACAACCCTGAGATCATGACATGAGCTGAAACCAAGAGTCAGACACCTAACTGACTAAGCCACCAAGGTGCCCCCCAAATCTTGATTTCTAATATCATTCTCCAATAAAAGAACCAAGGGCCCTTGGAAAAATGGCATGAAATTTACAAGATGAGCCTGGAACATCTTGCAGTGCCAGCATGTAAGGAAACATTCAAACACACACACACACACACACACACACACACACACTGACAATAATGGGGTTATGTTAAAGGGACATGAGAGCCAACTGAAAAAGCTCCCAATTGCCAAAACTGGAACAACTGGAGCAAAAAAAGTAAGTAAACTAGTATTGTATTATAACCCAAAATATAAAGTGAACATCCATGAGTCTATACTGATTTACATAAATGATTAAATAAATAAATGAATGGAAAAAAGGCAAATCTCCCATGCAGAAGAATTCCGAATAATTCATATAGATGTTCTGCCTTCAGGGAGGTGGAACTTCCCACCTGAGGTTGAAACCAGTCATATTAGTGGCATAAATCCACTCAGTTTTATAGCTTTCTCCAGGACCATGTTAGCAACCTATGTACAGTAAGAGAGAAAGCGGGTACATGAATTGATCCAAGACTGAAGCTCGAGGTAAGGGTGCAATAAAATCAAAAGATTAGGATGCTGAAAATACTGGTGAACAAGTGGCTGACATTATGCACTGTGAAGTGTAGGCTAACTAGGGAAGGAGGCAAGACTATGGAGTGGCAACACCCTAGATGAAATAGGATAGAGAAATGTAGTGAAGACAGGTTAGCAATGGAGTTGATGAATGCCTTGAAAGATGACAATTGCTTTGTGTAAGAGAAAAATTGACCAGGGAGACCTGCATTTTGAGTGTGGCACAGGATTCAGGGATGAGAAGACAGCAGGATTGAATGGTCTTAAGTCTTAGATTTTAAGCAGGCTCATCGGAAGCCCTTAAGGGTGTCAGCAACTGTACTCTCCCTAACCGAGCAGAGTGCCTCAGATGTTTAATGTCGCAAATGAAAGGGTAGTAAGAAACTACTTGGCTGCTTTTGAAAGGCTGAAATTGGAGATTGCCTATTTTTTTATCCACCTCTGAGAAGCTGGTTATTTCTCAAAAGCACTGGCAGTGTCCTTCATTGACTATGAGTCTCAGTCTTTTTTTTTCCAGCTTTATTGAAGTATGATTGACAAAATTGTATATATTTGGATTGTACAATGTGATGTTTTGATAAGCATATACATTGTAAAATGATTACCATAATCAAGCTAAATTGACATATCCATCACCTCCTATAGTTACCCTTTTTTGTGTATGGTGAGAATACTTGAGATCTACTCTCTTTGAAAATTTCAAATATATAATACATTATGATTAACTATAATCATCATGTTTTAAGTTGTCTCCAGAATGTATTCATCTTATAATTGAAAGTTTGTACCCTTTGACCAACATTCCTCCTTTTTCCCCACCCCCTTGCCTCAAGTAACCACCATTCTCTTCTCTGCTACTATGACTTCAACTTTTTTCTTCAGATTCCACATATAAATAATACCATTCAGTATTTGTCTTTCTGTGTCTGGCTTATTTCACTCAGCATACTGTCCTCTAGTTTCATCCATGTTGTTACAAATAAAAGGATTTCCTTCTTTTGGGGGGACTGAATAATATTCCATTTATATATATGTTCATCTGCTGATGGACACAGATAAATACATTCATCTGCTGATGGACACTTAGGTTGTTTCTATATTTTGGCTATTGTCAATAATGTTGCAATGAACATGGGAGTGCAGATATCTCTTTGAGATAGTAATTTCATTTCCTTTGGATATACACCCAGAAGTGTAAAGCAGACGTGATAACCACTACACTATGGAACCTCCGCGTTTACACCCAGAAGTGAAACTGCTGGATCATTAGTTCTATTAATTCTATTTTTAATAGAATTATTAAATCACCTCCATACTGGCTATACCAATTTAAATTGCCGTCAGTATTGCATAAGGGTTTCCTTTTCTCCACATCCTTTCAGCAATTATCTTTTTCGAGTCTTTCACTTTCAAGAGTAAGGTGCATACAGGCCCCAAAGAAGACATAGGCTGATGTAGCAAAGTCAGGAAATTGTATCCCCTGAAGAAATCAGTAGTACCCACCTAAATGCAATTCAAGCTGTATCTTCTAAAACATTCTCAATCTATTCCACTATAGTCCTGGTTCATTTGCTACTTTGGAATCTGAGCTTCTTTGAGGTGAGCTTCATACAGGTTCTGTGCTGGATGGATGGGTGGATAGATGGATGGATGGATGGGTGGATGGATGGATTGGTGGGTGGGTGGATAAACATGGATAAATGTTACCTGTGCTTTAAGGACCCTCTCGAATACTATCTCTTTACTGAGGATCTCCCTGATTTCCTCAAATGAAAAGCAACCTTTCATTTACCTGTAAAACTTATGGAAAAATCTTTTGTCTTACTTATTCACAAGAGTGATTATCTCCCTCCTCTTACAGGCACTCAATAATATGTATTGAATTAAACAGGCCTTTGATTATACTATCACAGAATAGGTCACAGTATACATTCAATTATAGTTTATTCTATAAATAAGTATTAAGCTGAAATTTCTATGAAGGCAAAACTCATATTTTGCCCTAATTTTTATTTCTTTTGCTTTGTTTCCACAGTAGTAGATGTTCAACTAATATATGTAGAATAAAGATATTAAGAATAACGTACTTGTGGCACCTGGGTAGCTCAGTCAGTTAAGTGTCTTGATCTCAGCTCAGGCCTCAATCTCAGGGTCGTGAGTTCAAGCCCCACATTGGGATCCACACTGGGTGTAGAGCCTACATTAAAAAAAAAAAAAAATAGAATGATACACTTGTCCAACTTTTCTCCAAGAGATTCAGATCAATGTCCTATAATATTCCTCTAGAATTTCCTGGTATCATTTAAGGGTCTGATACCAGCCACTTATAAATTTGTAAGAAATATCTCTGAGGACTTCAGGCTATAGAAGTGACCACCATTAAGTCAGACCTAAGCAGATTTGAGAGTTCATCAGTAAGAGAAGTGTGCACTGAAAGACGGTTTGAGATAATTGCTGATCATGAGGAAGACTAGTTAAGGAGCATAGTCCAAAGCAGAAGTCAATGAAGACTAGACTCACAATAGGGGAGTTTCAGATAACTAATTTTTCAACCACAACCACCAATTCCAAATGCCAATAATGAGGAACTAAATGAGGGTTTATAAAGAAAGCATGACCCAGCAAGAAAGCCAAAAGCCCTTTTCATATTTATGCTAGAGCTTTCTGTCCCTTAGCCTATACTGGACTATTTTAATTGAACTGACTCTATTGACATTCATTAATTAGATAGCAAGACTAATGCTACACAGTGTATTATTACCCTTGACTACACCTCTTCAAGGTTTCTTGATTTTGTAACCTGCCCATTGCAGCACCCCACCATGATGATATATTGCTGCTTCCTCTGCTCTAGATCCAAGGTTGAATGCCACCAGGTGACCTCCAATGCTATTGTCCAAGTGGGTTCTTGGCAGCAGTCAATCAAGGAACAGAAAACAAGAAACCTGGTGAAAGAACTGCAGAACTCATGAGAGACTGGTGCTTAGTGAAGGAGAGGTAGAAGCAAGAGACTCCAACAGAACCCAAGAGAACAGCAAACCCCAAAGCCATGAAAATATGCAGAAAGCAAGACTGACAGGAATTGGAATGTGCTGGAAACTGGAAACATGCAGGCATATAGAGAGAGCTAGCAGCACCAAAAAGAAGGTTGACAGGAAGAACGTGTTGACCCTGACTTGATTTCTCATTAACTCAGGAGAGCATCAGTCCTAAATAAAGACTGGCTAAGTGGACTGTGGCAAAAGATTGCAGATCACCCCTGGTTTGGGAGGAAGGTTAGAGGCAAGAGTCCTGCCCTCTGGCACAGTCAGTCCTTGGAAACTTAGGCAAGACCAACAAGTGGTCAGCAGCAGCAAAAAGCTGGAAGTTCTACTGAAAATGAGACTCCAAAAATTAGGCAAAGGGGAGCACCTGGCTGGCTCAGTCAGTACAGCATGTGACTCTTGATCTCAGGGTCATGAATTTGAGCCCCACTTTGGACATGGAGCCTACTTAAAAAAATAGACAAAGGACATAAGCAGACAATGCACTGATGACAAAAATATATCAGTGGTTAATGAACATGTAAAAACTATTCAAGCTCATTATCAATAAAAGGATATTAAAATGCTTTTTACTCCGTCATTTTAGTTCCAACCTTTATGAGGATGGTACTTGATGCTAGATAGGGTGCTGGTGAGAATATGAGGGGAAACATCTCTGAAAAGCAGTTCAGTTACCTTATATATGTACATAGAATATAGTTACACATTCATTAATTACACAGTTTTTATTGTATGCCCTGTGATGGGTATTAAAATCAGCACTAATCGGGGCGCCTGGGTGGCTCAGTCGTTAAGCGTCTGCCTTCGGCTCAGGTCATGATCCCAGGGTCCTGATTGTTCAATCAGAACAAACAGCATAGGCAAAAGCCCTGAGGTGGGAAGGACTTGCTGTGTTATCAGGTTTCTCTTCACATTGAAGAAGCCAAGAAAATACCCGTGTGGGAATTGTGGAGTAAATGAGAGAGGATGTGGCAAAAGATTTAGGCATGATTATTCCACCTTTGACTTGGTGGAGAAATTTGTTAAGAATGACCAAAAAGGGGCGCCTAGGTGGCTAAGTGGACTGTGGCAAAACATTGCAGATCGCCCCTGGTTTGGGTCCTTAAGCATCTGCCTTCCGCTCAGGTCACGGTCCCAGGGTCCTGGGATTGAGTCCCACATCGGGCTCCCTGCTCAGCAGGAAGCCTGTTTCTCCCTCTCCCACTCCCCCTCTTGTGTTCCCTCTCTCGCTGTGTCTCTGTAAAATAAATAAATAAAATCTTAAAAAAAAGAATGACCAAAAAAAATTGTTTTGAGACTTCCAGAATATCTACATATCTATGTCCATATATTTATATCAATATCTATATTGGGATGAAAATGTTCTAAAGTTAGATTTTAGTAATGATTGCACAACCCTGTGGATTTACTTTAAAAAATTAGGCTGTACACTTTAAATGGGTGTTTTGTTTGATATATAAATATATATCAGCTTTTAAACAGCTTCAATAAAGCTGTTTAAAAAATTACTTTATGCTTTTACTGATCTTTCTCATGTTTTAAATTTATGGAAAGGAAATGATTTTAAGACAAGTTACACAGACGCTCAAATCCATGAAGATCATGTCCAAACTTCAGGGTAATGCTGGGTTGTAGGTCTTATGCAAAATAAAGATTTGTTTTCTCTCCCTTATACTGTAGTAACTCGTTACAATTTGAGGATGAACAGCTCCCCAAGCTAACAGTATAGTCAATTTATTGTCCTAATTGGCCATATATTTACAACCAGTTTATCTTGGAAAGTTCATCAATGAGCAAAGTTACATCACCCAATGCTATATATTATAGAATAACCTGACGTTTTGAGGGGGGAAGTTGTTTGTTGTGTGTGGGGGGGTGTGTTGTTTTGTTTTGTTTTATGGTTGAGATGAGTATTTGGTTACAACTACTTTGAAGTTTCTCCAGGCTAAACTCATTGCAGCTCTGCCCTATTACAGAAAAAAATTAGATTTCAATGATTCATTGTAGATAAGAGTAAAGTCGAAATTACATCCTACAGGAATCTTGGTCTTGTATAAAGCTATCCCTCAGACCTCCTCTATGCCATTGTAGTGTAGCAATCTATTCCAGTCACATAACCTAATCTGATTCCTCAATTTTCATAATGGGATTTTATTTTATTTTATTTTATTATTATTTTTTAAAGATTTTATTTATTTATTTGACAAGAGAGAGACACAGCGAAAGAAGGAACACAAGCAGCAGGGGTGAGAGAAGGAGAAGCAGGCTTCCCGCAGAGCAGGGAGCCCGATGCGGGGCTCCATCCCAGGACCCTGGGATCATGACCTGAGCCAAAGGCAGACGCTTAACCACTGAACCACCCAGGCGCCCCCATATAGGGGTTTTAATTCAATCCTCCAGCTCTATTGATATTTAAAACATTGCTTATTGATTTAGTTAGCAATATATATTACAGGTTATGTTACCTTAATTCACTGATGCTCAAAATTTTTTCAATCTCCATTAGGGGAGACTCAACATTCATGAAAAAGTACCTGAAATACAGTCTAACTATACCCATAGAATCTCTATTTTTAGGAAAAACAACAACAACAACAAACTAAATTCCTGAGTCAAACTGCTAGGCCCTTCAGTGGATGTTCTGTTAAGTTTTACTTCCACATCTCGCCAATGGCCCACGCTGAGCAAAGCGGTAGAATACAATTTTTAAGGGACTGTACTGTAAGGGACTCTTTGAGGATGAAATTCACTACAACCACTCAGTGTCCTCTCTAGGTAGGCCTACTGTGGAAATCTCTACCTTGTCTCACTCCTAGTGTAGTTTTACTTCTTTGCAGCAAATCTTTGTATAGGTAGTCAGTTACACCACTGATCATTTCTCCCTGTTCATGTTTGCTTTTCTAAAGCATGAAATATAACTTGTGTCTCAGTGCCAGTAAGCCAACAAGGTCTGCCAACACAGTTTCATGTCCTAAACCCAGTCCAGGCTTGGTTTTATCTTTCCTGCCTTCATTTTCTCATCTGTTAACTTTAAACTTTATTTTCTTATTGTTTTCATATATTTTGGTGATCTATTTTAAGTTCCTCCTGAAACAAAAAAAAAAAATCATTTTTAATGCTCTTACAGAAACTTTTCTTAGAATGTTTCTTTCTTAAAACTCTGAAGGTATTTCAGATAGCCAAGTAGGGGGAAAAAATTGTATTTCATCACAGGGGTCCTCCCTTATACGCCACTCTTCAACCTACTCTACCAGCCTGCATAGAATGTAGCTGTGGAGGAAGAATGAAAGGATCTTTTGTAACTCATTTTTGAGGACTTTTTAACGAGCCTTGGATCTATAATCTGGGGAAGCTCAGGAGGATGAGTGGAGTAAACATCTAAACACCAATCTCTGAAAGACCAATGCAGTATTTCTGGCCAGGATTCTTTGTTCTGAGATATTAGCACCAGGACCCATGGCTGTGCTGGTGTTAGGCATCCAGTGGCAAATGGTGCCTATGACATCATCCTAAGCACGATCATGACTATTCCTTGCCTCTCTTTGTTTCTGAGTTCAGTTCAAAGCTCTGGGATCCAAACTGTTAGCAACTCAGTTGTAAGCCCAACAATTTCCATTCAACAAATTCCTTTTCTTTTCAGATATACAGATCCAGTTTTATGGGTTGTCCTTGGAAATCCTAATTAGTACACAGGGCCACTCATTTTCTTAAGGAGAGAGGCCCCACTCTCTGATTCAAAAGTAAATATTATGATGATGATATCTGGCAAGTGGTCACAATCTTGAGAATATGCTCTGACAAAGGAGGGAAAAATAAAGAAAAGACAGAATTTATTTTCTGTCAGAAGATGCTAAAAGATACAAATGCCATATTACCTCTTCATTTTTTAAGATGCTTTTAGCTCCAAATAACTGAAATCACAGGTCAAAATGACTTCAGCAATGGAAGATCTTAGGCAGATTCAAGCATTATGGAACCTGAAGCTTCTACCATTTTTGAAGCTCTCTTCATGCAAAAGAATGTAAAATTACAAATTTAATACTGCTAGGCCATTCTCCAGGTCTTAGAAAGTCCTATGCAAGAGAAATACCTTGATTTTTAAGCTTTATGCTAAATCTACCTCCAAAAAGGATTTCTACCTCCCCTCACTAGAAGTCTAGAAGTAAATTTGCAATAGGTAATTAATTCAGAAGCTTGATGAAATCATTAGGGTGTAGGTTCCTTGCAGATTTATACTCTTCAGCACATTCTTTTCAAGTTATCTTGCTTCTTATTACAAGATGGCTGCTAAAGTGTTCTAGGCAACAAATAAAAACACTAAAATATTTAGAAGAAGAACACTGGCCATTCCAATAAGGCAAGGAAGAAGAAATAAAAGGCAAAAGGACAGGAATGAAAGAAGCAAAACTATTTTTATTTGCAGATTATGAATGTTTACTCAGAAAACTCAGTGGAATCTACTAATCAACTACAAAAGTTAATGAATTTAGCAAGGTCGCAGGATATGAGGTGAATGTACAAAACTCAGAAGTAAACAAGTAGAAAGTTAAATTTAGAAATAATTCAATAGGACCAAAAAAAAAAAAAAGAAATATTTGAGAATAAATTCAACAAAATATGTAAAACCTCTATACTGAGAACTGTGAAACATTTCTCACAGAAATTAGATACTGTCTAAATAAAGAGATAAACCATATTCATGGATTGTGGGATACTCAATGTTGTTAATGTCAATTCTCACTAAATTGATTTATAGACTGAGTATAGTTCCAACCATAATTCCAGCAGGATTTTGTAAATGACAAGGTGATTCTCAAATGTGTATAAAAATCCAGACTGTCTATAGTAAAAACAGTCTTTAAAAAGTAATAATAAATACTTACTCTAAAGCTACAGTAATCAAGATGGTATACTATTAGAATAAAGATAGTCTTTAAATCAATGGAATAGCATACCAACTCCAGCTATAAACCCTCAATTATATGGTTATCTTATTCTCAACAAAGGCACCAAAGAAATCCAATGAGAAAAAGAAAGGTTTTTGACAAATAGTTCTGGGAAAAGTGGATATGCATATGGAAAAGAAGTGATCCTCAATCCCTACTTCATATTATACTCCAAAATTAACTCAAGATGGATTCTAGACCTCATCATAAAAGTTAAAACCATAATACTTTTATAGAAAAGCAGAAGAAAACATCTGTAACTTTGAGGTAAGAATACATTTCTTAGGGAAGATAATAAAAGAAAAAAACTGGGGGGCACCTGGGTGGCTCAGTTGGTTAAGCATCTGCCTTCAGCTCAAGTCATGATCCCAGGGTCCTGGAATTGAGTCCTGCATCGGGCTCCTTGCTCACTGGGGAGCCTGCTTCTCCCTTTCCCTCTGCCTGCCACTCCCCTCTCTCTGTCAAATAAATAAATAAAATCTTTTTAAAATACTTAAAAAGAAAAGAAAAAATGTTGATAATTTAAGTTTCATCAGAATTAAAAACTGCTTATCAAAAGTCACCATTAAGAAAACAGATATGGGGGCACCTGGGTGGCTCAGTCGTTAAGCGTCTGCCTTCGGCTCAGGTCATGATCCCAGGGTCCTGGGATGGAGCCCCGCATCTGGCTCCCTGATCAGGGGGAAGCCTCCTTCTTCCTCTCCCACTCCCCCTGCTTGTCGCTGTCTCTCTCTTTGTCAAATAAATAAATAAAATCTTAAAAAACAAAAAAAAAGAAAGAAAATAGATATGGAAGTTACAGACTGGGAGAAACATTTGCAAAATGTATTTCTGGTAAAAGACTGGTATCTAGGATATATAAATAATTCCTACAACTTAATGATATAAAGATGAGCAACCCAATTACACAAATAGATAAAACGTTTCAATAAACATTTCATGAAAAAGAATGAATAGCTAACAGGTACATGAAAAAGTGCCCAACATCATTAGTCATCAGGAAATGAGATACCAGTATATGCGCACCACAATGCCAAATGTGGAGTATCTGGGGCTTGCATTTATTTTTTGTGGAGTGTGAAATGTTACAACCACCTTGGAAAACTTTTCATAAAATTAAAACACACTTTCTCTTTGACCCAATAATCCCACTTCTAGGTGGTTACTCAAGAGAAATAAAAACATGTTTCTACAAAAAGACCTGTATAAAATGTTTACAGCAACTTTACTCAAAATACTCAAAAACTGGAAGAATCCCAGATGTCCACTAATAGAAAAATGCAAACAGTGGTGTATTCCTACAATGCAACATTACTACACAATTAAAAAAGGAAGAAATCGTTGACACACGCAACAATGTGGATAAATCTCAAAAACCCTATGCTGACTGAAAAGAGTCCTACACAAAAGAGTACATAGTATATGATTTTATTTATATGAAATTCTAGAATAGGCAACATTAATCTATGATAGAAAAAACAGAGTATGTGCTTCTTGGGGGAAGAGATGAGGACTGACTTAGAAGGAGAATAAGGGAACTTTCTGGAGCGAGAACAATGTTCTGTATGTTGGTGGGAATTTGAGTTACACAGTGTATGTGTTTATCACTTAAGATTTTTAGATTTCACTTGTAAATTTTATTTCAAAAGAAAAAAAACTATAAACATGTAGTGAACTCTAGTTAATATTATACATGCTGAAGTATCTAGTGAGAAGGGTATTAGCATTTGTAATTTACTTTGAAGTGCATTAAGAAATAAGATGGATCAATGGAGTTATAGATGAACAGATATGTGATAAACCAAATATAGTAAAATATTAATAGTAGAATCTTTACTGTAAAAATCTTTCATCTTTGCTAATTGTTTTTTCACAATAAAAAGCTGGAAAAGCCCCCGGAAGAAAAAGGATTGTTTTGTTCTTCTGAATCTCTTTTTATGAGTAATGAAAGCTTCCCCCAAATAATTCTCAGAATAATTTCCCTCATTTCTTTTTTTTTTAAAGATTTTATTTATTTATTCATGAGAGACAGAGAGAGAGAGAGAGAGAGAGGCAGAGGGAGAAGCAGGCTCCCAAGGAGCAGGGAGCCCGATGCGGAACTCGATCCCAGGACCCTGGGATCATGACCTGAGCCGAAGGCAGACGCTTAACCATCTGAGCCACCCAGGCGCCCTCCCTCATTTCTCATAGGCAGAAACAATCAGATGTTCACCCTCAGGGGTGTGTTGTAGCTGCTCATAATGGCTTGCAAGAGTCAATTGTTAAATTTTCAGTTATTTTGTGAGCCAGTTGATGTCACATTGGTAGCTTAAATCAGCCACAGTGGGAGTATTTACACCAGGGAAATTGTTGAATGTTACAAATTTTTTTTTAAGATTTTACTTATTTGAGAGAGAGAGCATGAGTGGGGGAGGGGGGAGAGAGAGAGAGGGAGAAGCAGACTCCCCACTGAGCAGAGAGCCCGACATGGGGCTCTCTCCCAGGATAGAGATCATGACCTGAGCCAAAGGCAGCTGCTTAACTGACTGAGCCACCCAGGCGCTCTTGGACATTTTTTTTTTTTTTGAGAGCCAATTGTTAAATATTACCACTGCTCACTCTCAACAAACCCCTGACAAGAAAGAAAAACCCACAATGATAGGCATAAATTAAGGAAAATATACCTAAGTGACAAGTCAGACTCTGATTTCACAAGCCAGAATGTGAACACCTGAACCAAATCAAGTCTCTTTCAGCGTGGAAGAAAGGAAAATGACTAATGATAGGCTAGTCTGCCACACACATATACTGATTCATAATTCAGAAGAGCATACAGTACACTTTTGGTTCAAAAGAATATACAGTAGGGGCACCTGGGTGGCCTAGTCGGTTAAGCGTCTGCCTTCGGCTCAGGTCATGATCCCAGGATCCTGGGATCGAGCCCCGCATCGGGCTCCCTGCTCAGCAGGGAGTGTGCTTCTCCTTCCGCCGCTCATCCTGCTTGTGTTCGCTCTCTCGCTCACTCTCTCTCACACAAATAAATAAATAAAATCTTAAAAAAAAAAAGTATATACAGTAGTCTCCCCCTTATCTTCAGGGGATATGTTCCAAGACCCTCAGTGGATGCCCAAAACTACAGATAGTACCAAACCCCATATATACTATGTTTTTTCCTATACATACACACCTGTGATAAAGTTTAATTTATAAATGAGGCACAATAAGTGATGAATAACAACTAACTAGTAAAATAAAACAGTTATAACAACAGACTATAATAAAAGTTATGTGAATATTCTCTCTCCCTCTCTAACTCTCTCTAAATAACTTATTGGGCTGTACTCACCCTTCTTGGGGCGACGCGACAGGATAGAACGCCTACGTGATGAGATGAAGCGAGGAGAATGACGTAGCATCTTGAGGTAAGGTTAGGCCACTATTGACTTTCTGCAGATTCGTCAGAAGGAGGATCATCCGCTTCCCAGCTGCCTTTGACAAAACTGCGGATAGTGAAACTGCAGGTGGGGCGGGCGGTTGTAGGTAAAATCTCTCCTTAAGTTACCACTTTTTCTTTCTTTCTTTTTCTTTCTTTCTTTCTTTCTTCCTCCTTCCTTCCTTCCTTTCTTTCCTTTCTCTTCTCTCTTTTCTTTTCTTTCTTTCCTTTTCTTTCTTTCCTTTCTTCCTTCCTTTCTTTCTCTCTTTTTTTTTTTTAGATTTTATTCATTTACTTGAGAGAGAATGAGAGACAGAGAGCATGAGAGGGAGGAGGGTCAGAGGGAGAAGCAGACTCCCCGCCGAGCAGGGAGCCCGATGCGGGACTCGATCCCGGGACTCCAGGATCATGACCTGAGCTGAAGGCAGACGCTTAACCAACTGAGCCACCCAGGCGCCCTCTTTCTCTTTCTTCCTTTCTTTCTCTTTCTTCCTTTCTTTCTCTTTCTTCCTTTCTTTCTCTTTCTTCCTTTCTTTCTCTTTCTTCCTTTCTTTCTCTTTCTTCCTTTCTTTCTCTTTCTTCCTTTCTTTCTCTTTCTTCCTTTCTTTCTTTTTCTTCCTTTCTTTCTTTCTTTCTTTCTTTCTTCCTTCCTTTCTTTCTTTCTTTCTTTCTTTCTTTCTTTCTTTCTTTCTTTCTTTCTTTCTTTCTTCCTTTCTTTCTTTCCTCTCCCTTCCTTCCTTCCTTCCTTCCTTCCTTCCTTCCTTCCTTCCTTCCTTTTCTTAAGATTTTATTTATTTGACAGAGAGAGACACAGTGAGAGAGGGAACACAAGCAGAGGGAGCGGGAGAGGGAGAAGCTTCCCAGGAATATTATGTTCATGTACAAGTAGAAGACATTTATTTTTCTCTCACAATAATAACTGTAAAACTTTGGTTTGGTTTTGTTTTATTTAGTTGGTTAAAAACTCTCTTGAAGGGGCACCTGGCTGGCTAAGCCAGAGGAGCTTGTGACTCTTGATCTTGGGGTCCTGAGTTTGACCCCCATGTTTGATATAGAGATTGCTTAAATAAAACTTAAAACATAACTATCTTGGGGTGCCTGAGTGGCTCAGTCAGTTGAGCGTCTGCCTTCGGCTTGGGTCATGATCCCAGGGTCCTGGGATCTGGTCCCAGGTTGGGCTCCCTCCTCAGCAGGGAGCCTGCTTCTCCCTCTCCCTCTGCCTGCCACTCCCCCTTTTTGTGCTCTCCCCCTCAAATAAAAAAATAAAATCTTGAAAAAAAAAAAACTATGTTGAAGACAACTCTTTTATTTATTTATTTATTCCTTTGAGAGAGAGAGCACAAACAGGGGGAGAGGCGGAGGGAGAGGGAGAAGCAGATTCCCCACTGAGCTGGGAGCCAGACATGAGTCTCCATCCAGGACCTGGAGATCATGACCTGAGCCGAAGGCAGACGCTTAACCATCTGAGCCACCCAGGGGCCCTGAAGATAATTCTACCCACATTCTATATTTAAGGCCTTGAATTTCCCTCTGATTTAGATGTATCCTAGAGGTTCCGAAATGTAATCGTTTTTCTTTTTTTTTTTTTTTTAAAGATTTTATTTATTTATTTGAGAGAGAATGAGAGACAGAGAGCATGAGAGGGAAGAGGGCAGAGGGAGAAGCAGACCCCCTGCTGAGCAGGGAGCCCGATGTGGGACTCGATCCCGGGACTCCAGGATCATGACCTGAGCCAAAGGCAGTCGCTTAACCAACTGAGCCACCCAGGTGCCCGAGAGAGAGAATCTTAAGCAGGCTCCGCGCTGGACGCAGGACTCAATCTCAGGTCCCTGAGATCATGACCTGAGCTGACATCAAGAGTCAGTCACTTAACCGAATGAGCCACCTGGTGCCCTAAACTTTATTTATTAAGTGTTAATCAGATAGAAAATAATAGGTATAAAATCTATTAGGAATTCATCATAACAAACATCTCTATAATAGGCTATTTTAACAAAAAGACCATAACTATTAGCATTGCCACCTCCTGTGTATCCTACCTCATTTGCTTATTTTCTGCTTATGGGTAAGAGTTATTCCAATTTTTTTGTTCTTCATTTCTGGGTTTTATTGGTAGCTTTACCACAGATGATTTTACAATTTTTTATTAATGGATTCACATAGTGTGCATCCTTCAGTAACCTGGATATTTACTCAAATTGTGTTCCTGAGATTTATCCATGTTGTTACATATAGTAGTCATCCATTTATTTTCACTGCTGTATACTATTACATTATGTAAGCATACCACAATTTATGTATTTTCCTGTTAATAGACATTTGAGTTGTTCTCAACTTTTTATAATTATAACAGTGCAATTATGAAGACTTCTACCCTTGTACTTATATGTCCCTGGTACCATGTACAAGAAGTTCTCTAAGTTTCACAGCTAATGGAGGAATTTCAAGGTGATAGGAAAAGTGTATAGACAAATTTGCTAAATAATGCCAACGCGTCTTCTAAAGTGATTTCTAAAACTATTATGGGTTCCTTTCCCATCGAGAGCATATAGATGTTGTGGATGCTGTATGTGTTCACTATTCTTGCTATTGTAAAAATTTTAATTTGTCCAGTTGGTTAAATATGAAACTGGATCTCACTGGGGTGATAATTTGCATTTTGATGATTACTAAGAAGATTAAGCATCTTTTCACATATATATTAACACTTCTGGTTTCCTCCTTTGCAATTCCTTGTCAAGTTTTTGCTTGTTTTTCTATTAGTTTTATTTTGTCATTTCTTTTTAATTTACACGTTTCTTTATATATGTTGGATACTATTAGTCAATTATGTGTGTTGAATGGTTTACCCATTTTATTCATTGCAAATACCTCCTGTAAACTCACAGTATATTTACAGCTTCCATTTTCTTACTATAATAGTTTAAAAATTCATGTGGCATGAAGGTTAATGAGGGATTTGGAGAATCCATGGATGGAAGTGCTGGCAAAAAACACTAGGAACAAGACAGACAAATCCCTATACACGATAAATGTCTACTCCAGCAAAGACAGCATGCTATCCTCCATGAGGAAGGAGTCCAATGTGATCATTATATTGCCAGGTAGGCAGCTGGTCCTGTACTACCATACCAAAGGCTCTTCATTAGATCCTCTATTGGCAAGGATGTCATTCATCCATGAAAGCCACATCAGTCTTAGTGCCAGGGAAGTCCATTGAGCCCATACATAACTTTCACCCTTGTCATCAAGGCCACTTTGTTTATGAGCCCAGTGGGCAGGTATGGGATCACTGGGGAAAGAGGTAATCTTGTCTACCTGAAAATAATGACGTTTCATCACAGTTGTGGATTGTCCCAATCATATAGGACAGAAATATCCTCAGATGTAGGACCACTCAGAAAGGGCCATTCACAAATCTGTTTTCCAGATCTCCTTTTCATAAATTTTCCCATCATGTTCCTTCTCAGTCCTTGACCATCTGGGTAAACAATTAGCTACTGATTAAGAATAAATGTATATCCATACTTCTTTCCATCTCTCCTTCAAATGGATAATCAGATATATTACTCAAAAGTTCTTTCCCAAGGGAGTATTTCCTTTACTTGTCCTCTATTTGGGATTATAATGTTCCAGGTTTCACTTCTGACTAGTGTCAGCATATCATGTGGAGCAATCTTTATCCTAGGCTCGTACCTTTCTTCCCTCAGTCAATTATTATAAAGAATGCCCCCCCAAAAGGCATTCTTTATAATAGTCTTATAGACTTGCAATTTCCTGCTCAACAAAGCCAGTCAATGTGATATAATCAATACAATGGATTGACATAATTTCCTGAGGGATAGTAAGACTCAAGTGTCTAGTAGTTCAGGATGTGCAGAGAGCATGAGAAATCACATAGCTCAGAGGTAAGACAGTATACTGCTGTCCTTTCCAAGTAAAAACAAATGGCTTCAGGCAGTCTTTACTTATCATTACAGAAGAAAGGAGCATTCAGTAGATAGACAGCGATATGCCAGCCCAAGGTACATGTTCGTTTACTCCCGAAGACAGTCCATGGACAACAGCTATAATTAAGAACAGCCCCTGATTAAGTTTCATAATCCAAGTATCATTCTCCAAGATCAACAGTTGTTATAGAAATGCTTATATTCTTTATCTTTTATATGTTTGAGATTAATATTTAAAACTGCCCCCAAGATATCCAGGACTAAATGTGGATTTTGAAACTAAGAAAAGTCATTTGTTTCTTGAAAAAGCCTAGATTTTAAGACTTGTCTCACCATAGATTCTGAAGATCAACTCTGAGGCTCAAAGTAGAATGGTAACGTTTTTGTTCTAGAATTCTATTTTCTTTTATTCTCTAAGATTTGTCTCTTGCCAAAAAAGATTGGGTTATAGACAGGGAAGATCCAGAAGGTAGTAGAAATGCTCCCATTAAAATCACTTCCTCAGAAAAGCTTTTTCAAATATCCGCTTCTCCCACTCCCAAGATTTCATTAAATCCTCTTTGAGAGACCCTCAGTTCTCTTCCACTGTACTTTTCATACTTTTAATTATTTTTAGTTACTTCTAAATACATATATGTATTTCTCATCTCATATTTTAAACTCACTTTATGAAACCTTTGTGCCTAATTAAACAGCAATAATATATGTGTGGATACTGTATAAATGTGTGTGAAGATGCACCATGGATTATGCAACATTTTCTGCCAATCTGTGTGAGATTAAGGGTAGTCCTGAGTTCTGGTCCACTTCTCATACTACTCTTCTAACTTTTTTATATAAATGATTATATAAATGAAAGATTAAATTTCCTCAAAGGTAAAAATACCCAACCACCCCAAGCACATGGTATTCCATCTTCTACCTTTAGCAATGGAGACTCTTTACAAAGCAAGGCACAGGGAAGTGAGTCCAAACAGAAAGCAACCATCTTGCTGGATGGAGAAAGATACCAGACTGTGGGAGTGCTGAAGTGGCCGGAAATTGTAGGATAGAGTAAGAACTGTATAGAGGGGGGAGCTCCGGAAATATGCATGGGGTCCCCTTGAGTTTTTGGCTGCATATTAAGCTCTATATGCATAGAGATAAATTTTTTGAAGCCTGGTAGAGAGTAACTGGGGGACTCTGAGCTACACAGAGTTTAGAGTTTGCCAATGCTGAGAGTTGTTGGAGTTCTGACCAGCAAGAGAGGAGAGAGTTGCTGAATACCGAAGCATTTAGCTGAGACCTCAGGAAAACTACATCTTAACTGTGGCTACTACAGACTGTGCTAACACAACCTAAACCCAAGCTCCAGTAGGATCATGCTGATTCACCAGCAAATTAACTGCCTGTTTTAAAAAAATACTCATCACTATTTAAAGGATATAAAAATTAATAATATAGTTACTTGTATTACACATTTAGCATACAATAAAAAATTAATACACAT